CACACCATCATGATTATCTGGTCGTGAAGATCTTTTCTGTACAGTTCTTCTGTGTATTCTTGCCACCTCTTCTTAATATCTTCTGCTCCTGTTAGGCCCATACCATTTCTGTCCTTTATTGTGCCCATTTTTGCATGAAATGTTTCCTTGGCATCTCTAATTTTCTTGAAGAGATCTCTAGTCTTTCCCATTCTATTATTGTCCTCTATTTCTTTGCATTGATCGCTGAGGAAGGCCTTCTTATCTCTCCTTGCTATTCTTTGAAACTCTGCATTCAAATGGTATATCTTTCCTTTTCTCCTTTGTGTTTCGCTTCTCTTCTTTTCTCAGCTTTTTGTAAGTCCTCCTCAGACAGCCATCTTGCCTTTTTGCATTTCTTTTCCATGGAGATGGTCTTGGTCACTGTCTCCCGTACAAGGTCCTGAACCTCCATCCATAGTTCACCAGGCACTCTGTCTGTCAGATCTAATGTCTTGAATCTTTTTGTCACTATTTGTCACTCTGACACAACAGTATAGTTAATTTAAATAACTACAAGTAAATAAATAACTATTTTAAATGGAAAATGCTGAGTGCACCCACTATCTGGCATAAGGAAGAGTATTACCAGTATTTCTCAAGCCCCTTGGAGGCCCCCTTCCCAATCATGTCTCTTTCATCTCTCCGAGACATTAACTCTTCCAGAATTTTTTATTATTTTTTTCTCTTGCTTTACTTGATTTTTTTTCCAAAACATATCTGTTTATTTGGTTGCATCGGGTCTTACTGCTCCACTCGGGATCCTTTGCTGTGGTGAAAGGACTCTCCAGCTGTGCAGGGGCTCAAGAGCTCACGGGTTCAAGAGCTCTAAGGCATGTGGGGTCTCACTTCCCCGACCAGGGCTCGAACCCTCATCCACTACATTGCAAGGCAGATTCTTAATCACTGGGCCGCCAGGCAAGTCCCGCTTGCTTTACTGTAAATTTTTTACCATATATATTTATCCTTCTGTACTCTAAAATCAAAGATCTCCTATGCATTTGCTAAACATTTTGAGTTTTTTCCTTCACTTTTAATTCCTTAATCCCTAAGGAAATATTTTTGTAAGTGGTATGAGGCTGTGACCCATGCTCATCTTTTTTTGCCCATGGAGAGTAACTGTCCAAATTCATTAACCTTTGCCTACTGATGAGCAATGGTATCAGAAATCAGTTCCATGTATGTATGGATCCATCTGTTTCTAGGCAATGCATTCTGTTCTACTGTGTATTTTTCTACTCCTATGGCCAATACTACATGGTCTTAGTTATTAAGGTTTTATAATAAGCCTTGAAATTTAGTAGGGCAATACCTCTGCCTTTTACTCTGGTTCTTCTTCAGAAAGGTCTCATGGTTGCCCTTTCACTTCCATAAAACTGTGACAGTTGATTTGCACTGCATCCTTGTCCTGGCCCTTAGTTCCTCAGTAATGTCGGACTCTTTGCGAACCCATAGACTGCAGACCACCAGGCTCCTCTGTCTACATATCCTCCAGGCAACAATACTGGAGTGGGTTGCTATTTCCTTCTCCAGGGGATCTACCCAACCCAGGGATCCAACTCGCATTTCTAGCGTCTCCTGCATTGGCAGGCAGATTCTTTATCACTGAGTTAGTGGGACTAATTAACCACTGAGTTAGTGGGACTTTCTTATGCATAATACTTGGTATTGTGGGTATTAATTTTTTTTTTAATTTTAGCTATTCTAATAGGCAGTAGGGTAGTAGTACTATCTCATCATGGTTTTAATTTGCATTTCCCTAATGACTAATGAACATCTTTTTTTTTTTTTTGTTCAGGCACATTCCACTTTATTTCACTGCCCAGGAAACCAACTTTCCCTAAGGCTCTGGTTACTCAGGAACCAAATGGAGGCCTGAATAGTGCTGTCTTCTTGTAGATGATTTCAGTAACTACTATTTTATCTCCAGAGCTCACTGGCACTTCAGTTCACAAGGATGCTGCTGCTGCTGCTAAGTCACTTCAGTCGTGTCCGACTCTGTGCGACCCCATAGACGGCAGCCCACCAGGCTCCCCCGTTCCTGGGATTCTCCAGGCAGGAACGCTGGAGTGGGTTGCCATTTCCTTCTCCTGAACATCTTTTTATATACTCAATTACCATCCATTTATCCTTAGTAAAGAGTCTGTTCAAGTCTTTTGCCCATTTTTAAAAAAATACATTTATTTACCTCCAATTTAATTTTTATATCTACTTAAATACATTGAAAACCATGAGTCCACTCAGATACATCCAATTCCTAACCAACCACTACAGGACTCATACTAGTTTTCTTTCCTGCTGCATCTGTAACTCCCTTCTCCAACAGTGAGAAACCTAAACTTCATTACCTTTAATATACTTGCCTTTTTGCTCAGTTCCACTGTATATGACTCAGCTCCTATCTCCACCACTAACTTCCTCTTCCAGGCAAATGCCCCCCACACTCTGCTTGGTCCTTATAGCCCGCACTGAGCCACGTTCATGCTTCAGTGAAGTCTTCGCCTCACTGGGGCCCCCACATTCCACACCAGCCTGCCCCTTCATGGTGATGCCATCTTCATCCTGGCTGGACCTGATTCCCATCACCAGTTGTCCCTCCCTCCCCAACTATAGATATCTTTTTCACCTGCTCAGGTTCTGACCTCTGATACCTCACACAGGTCCTCCCTTTGCTCATTTCTTATACTAGATTATTTGTTTTGTCACTCTTAGGTTTTAAGAATCTTTATGTATTTTGGATACAAGTCCTTTGTTGGATATGTGATTTGCCATTATTTTCTCCCAGCCTGTAGATTGTTTTCTAATTCTCTTCACAGTGTCTTCTTACAGAGTGGAAGCTTTTAATTTTGATTAAATTCAATTTATTAAAATTTTTTAATGGATCATGTCTAAGATGCTCAGTACAATGTTTAGTAGAAGTGGTGGTAATGGGTATCCTTGTCTTACTCTTGATCTTAAAAGGAATGCTTTTAACATTTCACTTTTGAGGATTCACTATGACACCTGCTGTAGATTTTTGTGGCCATTTGGTAGTAGGATAAGAAAATTATAATAAGTTTGCAATAATTCAGGTGCCCCTGATAATGTAAAATGTTAATAAGAGACGGCATAATATAACATAACATATCCTTTTGTTGATAGTTTTATGAAGAATCAAACGAAAATCACATAAAGGCAGAAAGATACTGTGGTATAAAAAGACATGAGTTTGAGGGCCAGTCATTCTTGAGCTCAAATCACAGCTTCCTTACTCAATATCTTTGTGGCCTGGGGGAATAGATCCTCTCTGTTTTTATTTCATCATCTATAAAACCTTATGGAATTGTCATAAAAATTAATGATCATGTATGAAAGGGTTTAGAATAGTGCAATGCCTGGCTTGTATTGGGGTCTAAAAAATATGACTGCTCTCATAAAATGCTGAAAGTTTGTCTAACTGACTCTACTTCTTCATTAAACAAAAATTCATGAACATCTCCTATATGGTGGGTACTAAATACAGGGAATGTATTTAACATTTAACAAGGTCTCTAGCCTATAATCTACAAAGGATTTCTAGAGGGTCAATACAAACATTACCTTATACTCAGCTTTCTTACCTTTTTACAGTGACATTATATTTCTATGTCAATTTCTTCAATCAAAAGATCAATTTTTTAAAACAGTTCCACCTTCAGAAAAGCAGATCCAGTATTTTCTCTACTGACCCCAGCAGGCATTTGTAGCAAGCATACTAAACACAATTCTTCATTTAATCAAGCCTGCTGTATTCCAACAACATGTTTCATTTTCCGTTATATAATCCACAGCAAATGTTTTTTGCTTGATAATTAGGCAGACATATGGCAAAGTCCTAAGCCACATATTATCCACTGGGTTTTGGGTTTCAAAAGTCTTAAACCCTGAAGTACTCATCATTCATTAATCACATTAAAATTTTGAGATATGTGAGACTGGTATACTATTAAGCAGAGTCAATATTTTATCTTTAAGTGATTCTATCACTCCACCTAAAAGCTACAAAGAAAATTATGAAAATTAAATATTTAATCAAAACACACAGAGCTACATCTAAGGTTATTAGATGGCAACCTAGACTGAAATAACCTTTCTATTTTATCTTCTCACATTTCCATCAGGGGAAGATGGTGCCTGTTTTACTTGAAGTCGATTACAAACAGCCCCTTCTTTACAGATAATAGTTAATAATAGCAGAAGGATCCATTTAAAAGCAAATTAAATTGAGACTACCAGCATGTATAGTATAATCTGGATGCTGCAAAGATATAAATCAGAGCAAAACTCAGTGGAAAGTTAATGGTATTCATGAGTGTTGAAAATTTCATCTACAGTAATGAGGTTCAACATATTTCGCCCTAAAAGTTCTAGAAGAAATGTTATCTCGTTAGTCTCAAATTGTCCCTCTTGACAGGATATAAAGTGACTGTCAGTAGGTTACGTATATATCTGCCCCATGAACTCTCATGTATGAGGAATATTAGTTTTCCTTTACAAAATTATATAGTTGCATTACACTTGAAATGTTAATTTTTAAAAAGCAATGAACCCATATAGAATGCATTTTTAAATGACTGATCTGGAAAATGAATGTTGATCCTGAAATGTTTACCAAAAAATCATTACACTTTTAATTACCCTCAAATAGGCTTATAAAGCTTAGGCCAAAGTGACGGGAAGAAATAGTTATTCAATAATTTAAAAAATTTAAGCTTACCATGAGATCTGGGAAACCAACAACAACTATAGCATAACTATTCTTATCTGAGAGAATTCGGTTTGGAGAGTCAATCTTTTGTCCCACAGCTGAACTCAGATTTTCAGATGATAGTTGATTACTTGAAATTGTATGAGGTATGCTGCGGTCTGTTTCTGAAAAGTAACAGAGAAACATTAAACACCATATGCCCCTAAATTGCTCCAGGAATTAATTTTTGCAAGATTTCATTCTCACCAACTCAAACAGAAAAGCATAAATTAAAAAAGAGAAAATGCTTTCAATTACACTCATTGATTTTTGTCTGAGAAGACTCAGTTTTCAGATCTTGGTATCTTCTCATTTACGGAATTCAAATTTTTATTAGCAATCAAGATTAATATTAACAGTACTGCAGAAAGAGGTAAAACTGACCTGGTTGGTTAGCAATGGTATATTTTAGACTCTTTTCCTTAAGTACTTTTCACACCACCCCCAAAAACTGTGATGAATAAAGTAGAAATTCTGACGTTCTGTGTTAAAAAGAAACGATGCAATCCTAAAATAGACTTGGAACCTACATATATATAAACATTCTGACTTGTCAAAAATATGCAAAGACAGAACTTAAAAGATGATGGATTCTTCCTTATTGTTTCTAGGGCAGTGACTAAGTTTTCTCTTTGGTATAAAGTTAACATGTGTTGATATGACTGTATTTAAACAATCCTAGAGGACAGTATGTAATCAAGCAGGCGCCCGCACAGCCGCATACGTACAGAGCACAGTATTTACCTTGCATGACTCCAAACCCTGGGCTAGGAAGCTCCTCTTTCAACACATACAACTGGCAGACCCCACTGTCCTTAGATTCGATGTGTGCAGGTGTAGTTAAAAGGTACTTCCTGTAAACAAACAAAGCACCTAAAGTGAACGAACAGTTTTTTCTTTTCTCATAACTGTGAGACCAGCCTAGGAAAAATAAGAGTTTTTCCCTCCCAGGGCCTCTTTTTCATACTCTGAGTATAATTTGCCGTTTTAGAGTTTTATTGTGAATTTAAAAAATAGCTTCCTAATGCTGTATAAAGTTGTTGTTGCTCAGCGGCTAAGTCGCATCTGACTCTCCGTGACCCCACGGACTGAAGAATGCCAGGCTCCCGTGTCCTCCACTATCTCCTGAAGTTTGCTCAGATTCATGTCCACTGAGCCAGTGATGCTATCTGACCATCTCATCCTCTGCTGCCCCCTCCTCCTTTTGCCGGTATAAAGAGTGCATAATAACAATGCAGTCATAAATGTGAACTAAAAACCTAACACTTCCTATAAGAGGAAAGTCTAGTAAAAAAAAAGAAAATTAAAAAAGCAACTCGAAACAGACACTCCATGCCATCATGGAGCCTGCTGTCAATATGACTGATCAGTCAGTAAGAGGGAACCCAGCCTCAGACCTGTGACCAGGTACCACCTTCCCTGTTGGCTCAGCAGTAAAGATCTGCCTGAAATGCAGGAGACAAGGATTTGAGCCCTGGGACAGGAAGAAGGAAATGACAGCCCACTCCAGCATTCTTGCCTGGGAGATCCCATGAACAGAGGAGCCTGGCAGGCTACAGTCCATGGGGTGACAAAGAGTGGGACACAACTTAGTGACTAAACAACAAGAAGGGACAGAAGCCCTCACTGCTGCAATTCCCTTGGTTTACTTATTTGTATAATTGCCAAAACAGGGATGTATAAATAGCCAGGAATCTTTTGCATCAGGACACTTCTGCTTGTCAGCAGAGGAGCAGAAAATCTGCATGTAGCCAGGAGAAGGGATGCATGAGGGAGCAGACCTCAAAACTTACTGTGCACCCTAGTTATGCCAAGTGCACAGAAAGTCCTTCCATCAAGAAGTATACAGTCCAGTGGAGGAGGCAACACAAAACATAAACATAACCAAGTAAGAGCACCCAAGAGGAAGCGAAGAAGAAACTTCTCTGGGGTGCAATCTGTGAAGTCCCAAAAATCAACAGCATTTGGACGGAGACTGTGGCCCTTTGAAGAAAGGATGATTGGAAAATCTGTTTTGAAGTACTGGCAAGAATACAGAGAATACAGTGAAATGCTCAGTGTGCTAATAGGAAAAAAAGCCCAAAGAAGGATGGATCAATATAAAATATTGTAAAAGTCATTATGTTTTTACTGTTAATTTCAAGGTCATCATCTGAAACACTTTTATAATTACACTATGAAGCGACATTTAAGTGACATTAAAATTTTCCCCTCCCCTCTTCTTCAAAGTTTCACCTGCCAAATACAGAAATGTTAAAAGACAGACACAGGAAGAAAGAGCTACATATAAGGACACTGGAAAGCTGAGCACACTCCATGAGGTACTATGGAGATCTACCCACTGATTTGTTTTACTCTCCACCAGAAGCCATTTGTCTTCTGCTACAAGAAAAACCGTCTGGAGGTTGATGGGAAGCGAGATGGTGTGAGTTCGCCCTTCTAGAACATCCAGCACAGCCAGGGTGTTCCTGAAAAAAAGAAAAGAAAAAGAAAACTCTGTGAAAGGAAATGGTGAGGATATTGGCTGAGTAACCATAGCATAATCATGATATATTACACAACTCTAAAAACAATATTTTTAAGACTAGATGATAACAGAAAAATGTTATTGAGAAAACAGAGATATAAAACACTAAACTATATAAAGGCTTGCATAAGATTTAAAAATGGGAAGTGACATCCGCTATGTTAGTAGTGGTTGAGTATGTAATTATGAGCACTGTTTTTTTATGTGTGTTTTTCAATGTTCTGCAACGTGGGACAAGGTACTTTTAGAATAAAATAATACTAACTTGGTTACATTAGTTTACAATAAGCCAAAGTAAAGCAGCCGGCAGGAGACATAGAGACAGAGGTTCGATCCCTGGGTCAGAAAGATCCCCTGGAGAAGGAAAAGGCAACCCACTCCAGTATTCTTTCCTGGGAAATCCCATGGACAGAGGAGCCTGGCGGGTTACGGTCCATGGGGTCGCACAAGGTCAGACACGACTAAAGCAGCTTAGCACACACTGACATTAAAGGAGGAAAGAGAATGGACAGAATAATAATCCCAGTTTAAATCTTCTACAGCAAAAAACTCACCCTTTTTCTTTGTAGAACACTAGCCAGTTTTTGTGTGAAAACTCTTTACACATTTTGTAAGTTTCCTAAATACAAGAAAAAACAAAATATTCACGTTAACTGTGTTGGATGCAGTCACGTCTCTTCAGCTGCTTTTCCTTAAATAAAGTTCTTCAACGTGTAAAACATAATTCTCTGAGAAGCTACCCCTCTTCATCCATTCCAAGACTCTTATGGTAACATGGATTAAAATATATTTTAAAATTCACTGTGAACTATGTACTAAAACATTTTTAGGATAATATTTAAAAAAATAATGCCAAATGCTGGTTAGAAATAAACATGCTATCTGGTGATTAACTATGATGTTTGTACTATAGCATCAATACATAGGAAATACTTTGTTTCTTAGATTTGGATCTATCTATGACATTTAAAATATCTTTTTCATGACCTTTTAAGACCTATAAGCATGTTGTTGTCCAGGGCAGAGGGTAAGTCTGGTTTTATATCCATTACATTTTTCTGAATGGCAGAATAGATTTCCTGGGATTGGCAAAAATGTTTAATTACTAGTTTATTAAGCTAAAACATTTATTTATCTTGTAAATACTACCAGATGCTGCACTCAAAGGTTCATTACATAAATCCAAAACATAAACATAAAACTGGAAAGCAGGTTAAAGTGCCTGCATGATTAGGGATTTATCATGAATATCACCCTCAAATGGCTCATGATGTCCAATGATTATTAGTTCAAATGTTCCTGCAATGGATACAAAAAGAACACTGATACTTACATATACATGTATCCATGTCTAACTGCTTGTATCATATTAAAATTCACAAGTGCCTAATAAAAGAATTCTTTTGTGCATTATAGCAAACAAAAGGTGCCGCAAGGGAGGGGCATGCATTTTTACAGTTAGAAAGCTACAGAAAATCCTTGGCAATTTGCTGGGCAGGCTGGGTATTCCTTACAGCTTCCTCCTTGTTCCACCAGGAAGTTTTCTTCATTGTAAATTCTTCTGAAGGCAGGACGAGACGGCGAAGGGCTTGGCTAGCGGGATCCAGCAACAGGATGACATTGCTCTGGAAATAAAGAGAATAGTTTTTTTTTTTAAAGCATCAGTCTCTTGGCAGCCTGGAAATAAAGGGTATTTAGTGATAAATAAACCAAAGGTAAGATGACAATACTGAAATATTTAAATGACTCCATAAAAACACTAAGTGATTTTCCCTAATACAGAATTTAAAGTTTAATAAGTTTAAAGTTTAATAAGGATATTTCTAATTATGTAAGGAAGACTTTCTTCTTTGAAGATTTTACCTTAAAACTATCTCCTTGTAAATATAGGCCAGGTTTAACCATGGCTCTGCTTTATTATGTATTAAGGAGGAAATTTAGACATTTGATCATTTTTAAAAGTCTGTTTACTTTTATCAAAATTATACTTAAAGAATGTGCAGTTAAACCAACACAGCATTGTAAAGCAACTATCTTCCAATTAAAATTTTTTTAAAAGTAAATTACAAAAAAAAAAAAAATGTTGAAAAACTCTTTTACACTATGCATTCAATTGTCTGATGATGAGAGGGGCTATGCTGTTAGTTGTTTGGCCTGAGGAATCACGGTGCTGGAGAAGACTTTTGAGAGTCCCTTGGACAGCAAACAGTCAATCCTAAAGGAAATCAACCTTGAATATTCTTTGGAAGGACTGATACTGAAGCTGAAGCTCCAATACTTTGGCCACCTGATGCGAAGAGCTGACTCATTTGAAAAGACCTTGATGCTGGGAAAGATTGAAGGCAGGAGGAGATGGGGATGACAGAGGATGAGATGGTTTGATGGCATCATTGACTCAATGGACATGAGTCTGAGCAAACTTGGGGAGATAGTAAAGGACGGGGAAGCCTGGTGTGCTGCAGTCCAGGGAGTCACAAAGAGTCACACACAACTTAGCGACTGAAAAACACACTGTGCACAACTGAATCTCATTTGTTCTTTTCACAAACGCAGGTTCAACTCAGAAAATATGTACATGATACAAAGACAGATTAGCAAGAAAATATAAGGACCCCAAGAACCAAGCTGGTAATGAGTATTTCTTCATCTTGTCATTCACTGAGCTTGGGAACTTTCATAGCTCATGCTATGATAACATACTGACAAGAGATTGCTCCAGCAGCATTCATCACGGTAATGCAAATGAAGTAATAATCTCTCAGAAATTAGGAGGATTTTTTTCAAGAAAAAAAACTAAAAAAAATTAACACTAGATATTAAAATAAGTGAATAGAAACACATGAAATAACAACTTAAAATTTAGAAAGCCAAGAAAGATTGAATATTTTAAAGCAATGTAAAGAAGTTGGGTTTTCAGTTAAAATTTAAAGACATTTGAAGGTTAGACTAACAGGTTTAGAAAAAGGCACCAGAAAATTGTTCGTCAGGCCTCATTGTTATATAATTGTCTTTTTTTCTCTCTTATTTTGGTTCATTTTGTTTTGTCTTATTAAGATTTGGGGCTCCTTCAGTTATCTTAACCCTTATGAACTTTTCATTTTAAGAACTTTCTTTGGGGAAGATAAAATCACAAAGCATCCAAAGAATTACTATACATTTTGTAAAATACATAAAAAATATGAAAAGTCTGCTCATTTCTTCCATAACATTTATTTGTTGTTGTGTTCAGTCACTATGTCTGACTCTCTGCGGCCCCATGGACTGCAGCACACCAGGCTTTCCTGTCCTCCACTATCTCTGGGAGCTTCCCCAGACTCGTGTCCATTGAGTCAGTGATGCCATCCAACTTATATTTAAAGCAGAAAGAAGAATACAAGGATGAATAATCATTACCTTTGCCCTTTATTACATAATCTAATTAGAGAGGAAATAAAAGGAAATGCAAATAGATTAACGATTCATCTGCAAATCTGAGACCTCATAGTGTGGTCTCAATTTCTTTTACTAGCCAATTTTACTGAAGTGCACAAGAATTAAAGTAGTAGTTGTACTGAAGTTTCCTTTATTCCATATACTCCCAAATATTGGCTGTATTATAAAAATTCTAAGCAACTTGACAAAGCTTAAAGTTTTCCTTATAAAGATACTTAGAATGCATCATTCTGTATAATATGCAATTCTCTATTACACTTCCATTACACGTGTGTGTTATGATGGAACTCTGCTCAACATTACATGGCATCCTAGATGGGAGAGGGGTTTGGGGGAGAAAGGATACATGTGTATGTATGGCTGACTCCCTTCACTGTTCACCTGAAACCATCACAATGTTGTTTGTTAATCAGCTGAACCCCAATACAAAATAAAAAGCTTATTTTTTTTTAAAAAAGAATGTGTGTTAGTAATATTCTTTTTTTAAAGCAACATATCATATAAGAAGCACCATTCCTGGCATTTGAAAGTTTGAATATGATAAAAATCTCAAGGAAAATCCTTAAAGTTTTCCTCAAGAAGTTGTACTAATAAGTTAAAATTTTTCAGTCTCTATTCTAGACTAAATCTTTTTTTGAGTTAGTATTTTTTAAAGAAGAAAATTTCTCTTATGATAAATATGTACAACATTAACACAAATCGCTAGCACTTAAGCAATTTGGATAATATTAACTTTTATGAGCAACAGAAAGTCCTAAAAATAATGTTTGATCCCAATATGATTAAGTAGAAGAATAAGCAGATGATTAAACAGATATGGTTACGCACAAAAATGAGTACAGTTTTGCATTTTTCTTCCTTTTTAGGGTCTAGTACTTCTGAAGTGAACTGAAAAACTGGATCTTTCTAAGTAACAGAAAACATACCTTTATATGTGTGTGTATATATACATGTTTCCAGCCACTGCTGTATTTAGAATTAGTTCTAGAAGCAACTGGCAACATGAAGGCTTTCTGCTGCTCCATCCTTTTAGATGTTAATGGTTTCCTTCTGTAAATGACTAATGATATATTCTGTCTGAGTTTAAAAATAGAATTTTGCGTCACACATGAGTACATGTAACTGTGGTTTTGGCACTCCTTCCAGGGGGGCAGGGTGGAGAAGCGAGTGAGCGATTTTATTATGTTTGTATTTGACTGGGAGAAAAGTAACCTCTGGATGACCTCCATGTCCTAAAGTCTGAAATTCTAAACTTTGTACAGATGTAATAAGTAATCTCATGGGGGTGGGGGTAGGGAGGAGGGAGGAAGCTTTATTTTTAGGCATGGCAAAGTTTCCCTTTCCTCACTTAAGATTTTATTTTAGCAAGGAATTTTTGAACAACTTCTTAAACTAACCAGCGAAATGCATCCGTTGCCAAGCTCTATAAAGACAAGGGATAGATGAATCAATGGAAGTACCTCTTTACAATATTTTAGACCCCTTGTCAGCTAGGGCAGAGTGGGGAAGAAGGAACTGAAGGCAGCACACTCATTTTTTCATTAGATCAGAATTATTCATCATTTGTTAAATTTTACAGTTACACGCTGTTCATTTGGAATTAAGGAGGGCTTAATACTCTAGTGTGGACATAATACAAAACAGACAGAGGATAGGTAGACAGAAAATCCTGGTAAGCCATGAGAGTCTGCTCAGGGCATTGAGGTAACCTGGAAAATCGCTGAAACTGGTCAATGGGCAAAAGTCAGGCAGCATGCAAGAATGCCAGGAGGGAAAGTGTGGGTTTATACAAAAACACACTGTCTTCCATGAAAGTCATTATACATGAGCAGGGAACTGATCCATAATGTTGCCAAATCATTGGATCTTTTGAGAAGACAAACTTCTTCCTGAGAACCTGAAAATCTCATACTTCTAGAATTGATACCTGTAAATTTGACAGTTTGCCTGACAGTTGAAAATTTGGCAAGATTTTTTGAAAAAATACTCCAAAATCAGACTTCTATTTAAATTTGATTGGTTCACTTAATCAAAAATCACCAAGATATCATGTGCTTTTTAGGAGAGTTTCCTCTGGCTGTAGAAATCAATTCGATGGCACTGACATTTGGTTGGAACTCTACAAAGTAAAACCCTTTCCAATGGGATGGACACAAGCTTTTCTAAGCAAGAGCTGGACATTTGTATATTCTGCTTCCAGGAGAAAGTAAAGTGAAAAAAAATTGTGAAAACCAGAAAAAAACTGATTAACTTAGAATTTATGATAATTGTTGAGTCCTGCCCAAGGCCATAGGTACGGGACCTTGCAGCAAGGCCACAGACGCAGAGAACCAAGGACACCTCCGCAGCTGACTGAGCCCCCCTGCAACGGTTGCTAAAAGCTCCTGTCACCACTGACAAGCTTCCTGACTCCCAATCAGGCAAAGACGCCCACTCCAGTAAGCACCCCATAGCGCCCCAACCAATGACCTATGGCCAATGATCCAGGAGGAATTTTCTTTGTCCTGAGGCTATGAAAATTGTTATTAGCCCACGAAAACTGACTCTCTCTGGTCTATCAGGCGGTCAGCCCACTGTGCTTGCAGTATCCACATTATATCTGCTCGTTGTTCTTAATAAACTCACTCCCTTCTGAAATGCTCTGGGTCTGGAAATTCTTTTCCAACCTGTGCTTGGACTGCCTCAACAGTAATTACTTGGGCAAAGCCTAAAGTTGAAGTTGACTTACTTAACTCAGTGAAACACTGAAAAGCTATTTACGAGATTTTTTTTATTCTTGATTAGAAACAGTCTAAAAGCACTGTTCTGGGTAACACTTTACTCTTATAGTATCTTAAAATACTTAGCAAGTAAAAACATTGCATTTTTTCAATATTTTCCTATGATGGATAACTTTTAAAAACTTCAGCAGTGAGAGCATAGACAAAATTAACATAATTCTGGTGGTGTCAATCCAGTTTGGCTTGAACTTCTGTTCCACCATGTGTTTACTGGGTAAGTTATTTACACTCCCTGAGCCTCAGTTTTCTCACCTGTAAATATTGATAAAGCTACCCCACTGAGCCTCTGGAAGAAGAGCATGGATAACGTATGCAATCTTTTCCTTGACACATTTGTCAGCATTTAATCATTGATCTTCCTCCTTGAGATATTCATCACTTGGCTTCTGAAATACCACACCCTGGTTTATTCATCTCCACCACTGGATACTCATCTTCAGTTCCCCTTGGTTGATTCCTCCTCCTTTCCCCGATTTCTTAATATTTCATTGCTCCATGGATTAGAGCTTAGACTTCTCTCTCTCTTTTTTTTAAGACTTCTCTTTTCTACCCACATTCCACTCCCTTAGTCATCACTTTCAGTTTCATGATTTAAATAACACTTATACTCCAGTGACTTCCCAATTTATGCTTCCTGTTCTCCATTAAACAGCAGAATCATCTACTGGGCTTTGTTATAGGCATCTCGAATTGAATCACACATCTAATTTTTCCTCCCAAATCAATTCCTTCCTCATCTCAGTTCATGGCAGGTCTACCCTTTTCGTTGCTCAAGCCTTAAATCTTAAAATTGACCTTAGTTTCTACTCTGTCACTTCATGTGTCTGATCTGTTAGGAAATCCTGTTAGTCGCACCTTCAGAATATATACAGAATCCATCATCAAAGATGATTTCCAAACTTGGGTGATCTCTTGCTTGAATCATTATAAAAATGTAAAAAGTAAAAAAAAAAATGTAAAATTAGTTTCCTTCATTTTGCCTTTGTACCTGTAGACTATTCACCACAGAGGAGCTAGAGAAATCCCTAGGGGTTTAGAAATCCCTAAAATATATGTCAGATCTAGCTGTTCCTCTGCTTGAAGCCCTCTAAGACCTTCTTCCCCTCACCTCACAGGCAGTGCAGAACCTTAGAACGATTCATAAGGCTCTACACCTCTGCCTCCCCACCCTCCACCGTGGTCCTGCCCCAGCTCACTGGGGGACCTCTTTGGCCTCGCCTCTTTATACTCTGGTCCTCATTCAATCTTCCCCACCACACTTCTTTAAAGCTGCAAAGGCATATTCCAGCCTCTGGGCCTTTGAATTTATAATTCCCTTTCCCTAGGAACTCTCTGCTTCCCAGTATCTCTTCTCTCCCTCAACGCTGTCAACTCTACTTAAATATCACTTTCTCAGGCAGGCGATCCCTGGCCCGCCCTGCTCTAAGTGGCAGTCTTCCTTCTGTTTTACTCTCCCTTGTTTCTCATTGTCTAATTTAAGTTGTGATTATTTATTTCGCTTATTGTCTATCTTTCTGCACCAGAATACAAGCTTCTCAGAACAAGGACTTTTGTGCTGTTTATGGAAGTATCCCTAAGAGTAAGCACATGACACTTATTTGATGAATGAATAATATGCTTAGAATACTATTTGGTGGGCTTCACTGTGGCTCAGTGGTAAAGAATCTGCCTGCACTGCAGCAGACACAGGAGACATGGGTTCGATCCCTGGGTTGGGAAGAAGGAAATGGCCACCCACTCCAGTATTCTCATCTGGAGAATCCCACGGATAGAGGAGCCTGGAAGGCTACAGTCCACAGGGTCACAAAGAGTTAGAAACAACTAAAATGACTGAATACACACACACACACACACACACACACACACACACAAAACTTGGTAGCTACCAGGTGGGTAACAGGTCTATAAAAACATTGCACTCCTTTCTATTGGAGAGTACAGATTCACTTTATTGTTGTTTAGTCACTAAGTTGTGTCCTTCTTGACATTATGAGTGCCCTTTTTGACTTTATGATGGGATTAGTGCCCTTACAAAAGACACATGGATGCGATCCCTGCTTCTTCTGCCATGTGAGGTCACAGGGAAAAGACAGCTGTCTAGGAAGTAGGTTTTCACCAGATCCCAAACCTGCAGTCACCTTGGTCTTGGACTCACCAGGCTGCAGAACTGTGAGAAATAAATGCCTGCTGTTTACAAGCTACCTTGTCTATGGTACCTACATTACAGCAGCCAAAACAGATTAAGAGAGCAGTCCCCAACCTTTTGAGCACCAGGGTCCAGTTTTGTGGAAGACCATTCTTTCATGCATGCGGGATGGGACGAATGTTTTCAGGATGATTCAAGCAAGTTACATTTACTGTGCACTTTATTATTACATCAGCTCCACCTCAGATCATCAGGCATTCGATCCTGGAGGTTGGAGACCCCTGGACTAAGACAATTCCATTCAGTATAGTTACATAGCTGTCTCCACATGAAGAATGCCATTCGGGTTTCAGATAACATGTCATCTCCTAAGCGGAGCTATGTTAGCACTCTTGAGTACTATTCATTCTTCCGGCTCCTCCCACCCTACCCCCATCTTTCTCTAGGACATTTTTTCTTGTTGTTGTTTAGTCGCTAAATTGTGTCTGACTCTCTTGGGATCCCATGAACTGTACAGCAGTTATCACTGCTTGACATTGGCATATTTATTTGTTGGCTTACTTGCTGTCTGTCTCCCCAAAGAGAAGGCAAACTCCATAACAATGAACTGCTGCTGCTGTTGCTCCGTTTCCTCAGCGTGTAGATTCTGTGCAACCCCATGGACTACAGTCCACCAGGCTCCCCTGTCCACGGCATTCTCCAGGCAAGAATACTGGAGTGGGTTGCCATGCCCTCCTCTAGGAGGTCTTTCCGACCCAGGGATTGAACCCCCATCTCTTACGTCTCCTGCGTTGCAGGTGGATTCTTTACTGCTGAGCCACCAAGAAAGCCCCCAACAATGAACTATCCAGCCTCAAATGTCATTAGTCTGAGATGAGGAAACCCTCACTCAACATGTTTCAAAGATTAAAGCCCACATTGAAGTCCCCCAGAGAGGAAGGCATTAGCCTGCCTTGTGGTACTGATAACATACAACTCCCGACTCCTTCCTGCAGCCCCTCTCCTCAGTCTTTATGAAAGCACACATTCTTAGTGATAGGCTGGAAAACATTCCTGCCTGCCCCTCACATAAGTCACTCTTGGTATAGTGAGGCCATTACCTGCTGCTCATGGAGAACCACTTGACCCTTTAGGGGATTTCCCAGCGGTGCCACCGTCACAAATGGATGCCAGATTCCACTGGCCGTTCTCGGGAAGATGTCGAAAAGGTCCACAAAGTGGCCACTTTTCCCAGTCATATTCATAAAGTATAAGGACACGGGATTGCATGCAACTACATAGAGAGTATTTTCCTCATTTTCTGAAATGATAAAAAAAAAAAAAAGAGTTAATTCCATTCTGCAGTAGATCTTCTGACTGGTCCAAAAAGGTCCGGTGAAAATGGAATCATAAGACAGCGTACAATCAGAACTCAGCAGATGACCTGCACACGGATTGGTCAAAGAGCACTGGGAGAAGCAATTTCACAGTAGGGAATGGCAACCTACTCCAGTATTCTTGCCTGGAGAATCCCAGGGACAGAGGAGCCTAGTGGGCTACAGTCCATGGGATTGCAAAGAGTAGGATACAACTGAGTGACTAACACTTTCTTCTTTCTAGATGTATAAATAGATGGGACCATGCCTATCTACTCCAGGAAGTAAGTATCTATTTGTTTCCCAAAGAATTCCATAACATCTCACAGTAACACCATTAAATATTTAACACTCCTCAATGTCAGGAAACTCTTCCTTCTATGAAAGTATTTTGTGCTTCAATAAAAGTCTGTTTCCTCTTATTTTATTATTGGCTCAGATGGATAACAGCTGGTCAACATCTTCCGTCTGCTACTCTGGTGTTTCCCAGTTTACTAGATCTTTAAGCTTTTCAAGTAAATAAGTATTTCCATTTTTTGATTCTTAGCTCTATGGATCTTATTTTCCAAATTATCTTTTTTCATATTTGTGTATTTTTATTATTACAAAACTTGTCTTTTCAGTCAAGTACTTGATCAGGTCCCTTTTCTGAATTCTATTTCACTGCTTCTTCAACTTTCAAGTGTGTGTGAATCACCTGGGGATCTAATGAAAGTGCAGATTCTGACTCAGGGGCTCTGGAGTAGGGTTTCAGACTCTGCCTTTCCAATGAGCTCCCAGGAAATGTCACTGTGTAGGCTTGAGGCAGGGGCTCTGGGGTGGGGTTTCACTCTGCCTTTCCAACAGCTCCCAGGAAATGTCACTGCTCAAGGCTTGAGGCAGGGACTCTGGGGTGGGGTTTCACTCTGCCTTTCCAATGAGCTCCCAGGAAATGTCACTGCTCTAGGCCTGAGGCAGGGGTTCTGGGGTGGGATTTCACTCTGCCTTTCCAGTGAACTCCCAAGATATGTCACTGCAGTTGGCTTGAGGGCATTCCTTTGAGTAGCCAGGTTCTGGACTGTTAACCATAATCTCTATTTCCGGGCACCCCAAAGCAAGGGATTAAGCTGCTTCTGTATAATAATCACTATTAATATCACTCATCATCTAGGTATCTATTTACAGTGGTCATATTTTCTGGACCCCAAACTAAGGTATAAGCTGTGATAATGAGATATGTGGGACTATGCTGGAAATTTCAGGAAAAAAATATAGTGTGTATGTGTGTGTGTGTGATGTGTACACATAAAGACCAAATATATATAAAGATAAATTAAACAAATAAGCTAACATTGATAAGAAACACAAGTCAGTAGAAGATCAGAGAAAGGCATTATTTAGGAGAAACTGTGAACTATTGTACTACAGTTCCAAATATCAGAATCACATAACTTACAATTTAAGAATGTTTTTAATGTGTCTATCAGCACAAATAAATTCAATTCAACATTTATTGAGCAACTTTGTACACAGCATAGGGAATTAGGAAATATAATAAAAGTATTAATAGAAATATACTTCATAAACATCAATTGTCCTCTCTTATTGCAGCATTAAGTACTGTTTGGTCTCTGACTCAAACATATCTATCTATCCAACTAACTGATTCTAAGAGAACCAAGAAAATCTTCTTTTCTCTCCCAAATACAAAATAGGCACAAAAAAAAGAGAGAGAGAGAGAGATTAAAAGAAACAACACAAAGGCCCAGTTTGCAAATGTGCACAACACTGAAACAGAGGGTTAAATTTCGTGAGGGAGAGCAAATGAGTTTCACTTTTAAGGACCAGTTCTGACTGCCTAGCTGGGGCTGCCTGGAATGCTGAGTTGAGAAGAACTGTGAGACTGTGACAAGGTTTAACGACCCCTGTCACTGACATGACGCAGAGGTTCACAGCATACTTATTTACAATCTCTAAAAATGAGACAAGGACCAAAGTTCAAACTATCAGTAAGATCTATACGCATTCTTTACTCATGTACGTTCTGTGGATGTTTGTTCCTAACTTTAGCTATGTTGAGTAAAAATATGTGTTTCTAAAATGTACAGGGTTTTTGTGGGTTAAATTATGTGAGGGACTGGTGTTGCTATTAAGACATTTTCAGTTCAGTTCAGTTCAGTCGCTCAGTCGTGTCCAACTCTTTGCAACCCCATGGACTGCAGCACGCAGGCCTCCCTGTCCACCATCAGCTCTCCGAGTTTACCCAAACTCATGTCCATCAAGTCAGTGATGTCATCCAACCATCTCATCCTCTGTTGTCCCCTTCTCCTCCTGCCTTCAATCTTTCCCAGCATCAGGGTCTTTTCAAATGAGTCAGTTCTCTGCATTAGGTAGCCAAAGTATTGGAGTTTCAGCTTCAGCATCAGTCCTTCCAATGAACACCCAGGATTGACTTCCCTTAGGATGGAGTGGTTGGATCTCTTTGCAGTCCAAGGGACTCTCAAGAGTCTTCTCCAACACCACAGTTCAAAAGCTCAATTCTTCGGCACTCAGCTTTCTTTATAGTCCAACTCTCACATCCATACATGACTAGTGGAAAAACCATAGCTTTGACTAGATGGACCTTTGTTGTCAAAGTAATCTCTCTGCTTTTTAATATGCTTTCTAGGTTGGTCATAACTTTCCTTCCAAGGAGTAAGAGTCTTTTAATTTCATGGCTGTAGTCACCATCTGCAGTGATTTTGGAGCCCCCCAACATAAAGTCTGTCATTGTTTCCACTGTTTCCCCATCTACTTGCCAGGAAGTGATGGGACAGGATGCCATGATCTTAGTTTTCTCAATGTTGAGTTTTAAGCCAACTTCTTCACTCTCCTCTTTCACCTTCATCAAGAGACTCTTTAGTTCTTCTTCACTTTCTACATTCATATTATTCTCTACATAATAGGGCTTCCCTGATGGCTTAGCCAATAAAGAATCCACTTGCAGTGCAGGAGACCAGAGTTCGATCCCTGGGTAGGAAGATCCCCTGGAGAAGGAAATGGCAACCCACTCCAGTATTCTTGTCTAGAGAACTCCATGGACAGAGGAGACTGGTGGGTCACATGTGACCATGGGGTCACAAAGAGTCAGACACGACTAAGTGACGAATAAACCCAACACACAGGGAATGTAAAATATCTTAATAGGAACACCAGTCTGTTACCAACAAAAACCCTGTACATTTTAAAAGCACAGATTTTTACTCAACATAGCTGATTTCAGGAACAAAGATTGATAGAATGTACACAAACAAAAGCTTGCTTCCTAATTTTTGCCTGAAGAATCCCCATTGTAGATAAGTTAGTGACTCTCTCCCTTCCCCCTGTCATCACTTCTGTTGATATCACCTTAGTAACTGCCATCAGTTGAAACTTCTGCCAAAAAGTACCCAGGACACACTGCATGAATCAGTAGGTAATGGCAACAGTCCAGAGATGCAGATGCCAAAAATTCATATCCTTTATTTGCCATTCTTTACAATGAGAGGTTTAATGACTGCAAATGCTCCAATCCTGCTTTCAGAATACATATAATCACCAAACTGGAATCCCAGCCAAAAAAAATCCAATGTTTTTCCTTTTTCTTCCCCCTTCTATTTTTAGCATGAGCCCGGGTGAGTTTAACTTTGTGCTACAATGGTAATGAGAAACAGACATGCATATAAACTCAGCCATGCTTACGTGGATTCCACAATAGTATTTTGTTAGGTTGTTATAGGAAATTAGATCTAAACTACATATAATTGCTATCCAATCCAAGAATGACACAGTTACTGAGTCTAGTATAGACTTCTTGATGTCTAGAGATTATTTTGATCTGGCTTTAAAAAAAATCAGTGCAGGAAGGAAAAATCAAAAGAATAAACTGACATACCATGTGTTGTAGCAACATCACAGATTAAGTTCATTTCATCCAATGGTAACCTCCAGGAGCTACATTCTTCAGTAAAGGTTTGGGATCTTCCTTCATGTCTTTCTATTGGATACTCCTGTATGTTTATAAGTGCTGGACCCTATTTAAAAAAAAAGTAGTTATCTGCAATAAGATATTTGGGTAGTTATCAAAATGCAGAAAAGTTAAGAATTCTTCCAAACTAAGATTTTCAATTCAAATACTCACTATCTTGATATACCTCTTCTCATTTTATTGACTGGCATAATACTTATGACAATAATAATACCATATAGTTGCATTCATAAAGGCTTTCACATGTGCTATCATATTTAATTTCTCATTTTGTTTTATTTTTATTCAGAAAATATATCATATAAAATCTCATAGGAGTTCTCATTACTTTACTCTTTCCTAAGCCAACTGCAAGTTTTGAACTCCAAGTATGGGGACCCAGAGCTGTCCAAACCAGGAGAATAATTTTTTAAATACAATTGATTTGCATGCCCTTACAGTCCTTAATTAGTCAAAACTTTTTGGGTCAGACAGTGACTATTGTGGCAGCCGGGGCTTCTTGGGTGGTGTAGTGGTAAAAGAATCCACCTGCCAATACAGGAGATGCAGGAGACTTGGGTTTGATCCCTGGGTTGAGAAGATCCCTTGGAGTAGGAAATGGCAAAACACTCCAGTATTCTTGCTGGGAAAATTCCATGGACAGAGGAGCCTGGTGGGCTACAGTCCATGGAGTCTTTGATTCTTTGCAAGCTTATGGACTGTAGCCAGTCAGGCTCCTCTGTCCTTGGAATTTTCCAGGCAAGAATACTGGAGTGGGTTGCCATTTCCTTCTGCAGGGGGGTCTTCCCGACGCAGGGATCAAACCCGGGTCTCTAATGTCTTCTGCATTGGTAGGTGGATTCTTTACCACTGAGCCACCACTATCCAGCCCCTTACAGGAAAAGTTTCCTAGTCTGGACTTACTGTGCAGAAGCAAAAACACTGATCCTGAAACCAAAGGTCCAGGGTGGCCGCTTATCTCTTGTCCAATTGATTATATAAGCAGCTAATTCCTCACAGTTAAACCTAGAGGGATTGCTACTGCAACTAGTGATCGATATTTCTTTGCTTTTTTTCTTGAAAACAAATATAATGGGGTAACTGCCCTACTTGACTTTCCTGAAATACAGAGTAGCTCTTAGGAATTCTACTAATCATTAGCCATTACCTATATCATGACCCTCAGAGGCCAGACTCACTTGAGAATCACAGAAGAAGCTAAATCTATTCTGAAACAACATCAGAACAATCATTTCTAAGACTGAATAGATTTTCTCTAGGGAAGAAACTGAAAAATAGATAACATTCAATATTCTAATGAAAAAATAATGATATCAACCTTAACGTCTATATGATGAGTTTCTGCTGGACACAGCAGTTTTTGCATTCCATTTCTTGACTGACCAATTGTCCAGTAGCCCATGAAGGTCTGCTCCGGCAGAGGCAACCTGTCAAAGATTAATTTGAAGAGTAAACATGTCTCTTTGTTTCCAAGTCACAGGAAAAAATAAGAACCATGTATTGAAAGTGTTTAGTCGCTCAGTTGTGTCCAACTCTTTGTGACCCTATGGACTGTAGCCTGCCAGACTCCTCTGTCCATGGAATTCTCCAGGCAAGAGTACTGGAGTGGGTTGCCATGTATTACTGATCACATAAAGAAATCTGAAGAACACTTTACTTCGAAGTGAGTTCTACTTCATTTTATTAAAAGACAGTCTTTAATAGAATGTTTAAAATATACTTGAAAAAGAAAAGAATTCACATTTCAGAAACTCAGAAGGTAATGTCCTACTGTTTTTACCATAATGACAAATATAATTAACGTTTAAGTATTTTTTTCCTGAATTGGTAAATACTTAGTAATTTAACATCTGAATTCCTGTTAGAGTAATAGAAAGGACTTAGGGGTAAAATGGAGCAATCCATCAGTTTTTTTCTTTCTATTCTCCTAAATTTGAAATCAAATAATAAGTAGTACAGAATACTACTGGGATTCCCAGGTGGCTCAGTGGTAAAGAATCTGCCTGTCAATGTAGATTGTGAGTTCGATCTCTGGGTCAGGAAGATTCCCCTGGAGAAGGAAATGGCAACCCACTCCAGCAGTCTTGCCTAGGAAATCCCATGGACAAAGGAGCCTGGTGGGCCCCAGACCATGGCATCACAAAGAGTCAGACACAACTCAGGGACTAAACACCACCACCAGAATTCTACAGGTCACATGTTTGTAAGTTGTACAGGGAAACTTTCACAGCATCCACTTTAGCACTTTAATTTTTATTTTTTTTACTTTGAACCGACATAAAATACCCACAGAAACATCAACACAAATGTGCCACTTACTCCAGAGCACACCTATGTGTCCAGCACTCAAGCATCACCAACACTCAGAAACTCCCTTGGACTATTTCAGTCATTACCCCTACCATGGGAGCTACTATGCTGACTTCTAATGGAATTATTCTATGTTTAGATTCCATTTTATCTAAAGCTACGTTTAAATAAAATAACTTGCAAAAACAAGTATGGCAATGCTAAAGGACAAAACCACAGATAAATTTTTTTAGAATAAAGCCTTTACTTTTTAATCATACTAAATTTTTTGGAATGTTTAAAAAAGAAACGATTAATTTGTCATTCAATTCATTATGAATTTCTTATTCAATGGTAAGTGAAGGCCAAAAATTATTCAGAGTTAAAAGTTCTTCAAAAATAATGCATAATATGACTATAAATTGAAATGAATGCTTGAAATAAGCATCATGATCATTAAAAGAGTACATACTGATATTTAGAAAATCACTTTTTTTTCAGTAAAAGAGTAAGTCTGACAAAATATCTCCACATACTTGATAAGACCATGGAAGGCTTAGATTTTTTTTGCTTAGAATAGTGAAACCAAGTATTCTGGTGGAATATGATTTTTGTCCTTTGAAATGCTAATGTTTAACACCACAGGAACGAAATCTAAAAAAATTTACATTGAAATTCTTCTAAATCATAACATAAATCATTCAAAAGGACATATATGCTTTGTAGCTATCATTTAAAATACATTTTAAGTACACGGACAATTATCCTGATTGGTCATCACTTATTTCCCTGTTTCGTTTCGTTTTTTTTTTTTACCACTAATGAGGTGGAAGAGGCACTGAGTTAGGGGATTTACTATAACTGTTCTCTCTTAAGGTAATAAAATATATTCCCATGTCAAAAGGAAAGATCTTGAAAGCGTCTTGTAGACTAGACTCTCTCTCTGCTTGTTTAGGGAATGAACAGTATTCACTGCCTTCAGCAGTTCACCGAAGGGGAATTAGATCTCTAAAAACAGCAGAAAACAAAGGAAGGAGAAACACCTGATTTCTTTCTAGTGGAGAAGATTTAACGGGTTCTAGTGCTAGTTCTTTTATTAATTAGTTCTGCAGACTTGTGAAAGAAAAGTTAGATAATTTCTCTGAGTGTTAATTTTTTCCTTTGTGAGACGAAGGCAATATCGGTAAGATTCTGGTTTCTTCTAAGGACTGGGGGAGTCTCTGATGACCATTTTAGAGAGTGGAGTGAAGTACCAGTGGTAGATCTTGCATAACCTTTGGTACTGGAGTGAATATAAATAATCAGAATAAAACTATCTACACCTATCAATAGAAGGGGCTTCCCTGGTGGCTCAGCTGGTAAAGAACCCACCTCCCCATGTAGAAGACACAACAGACACAGGTTTGATCCCTGGGTTGGGAAGATCCCCTGGAGAAGGAAATGGCAACTCTCTCCAGTATTCTTGCCTGGAGAATTCCAGGGACAGAGAAGCCTGGAGGGCTACAGTCCATGGGGTCGCAAAGAGTTGGACTCGATCAAGAGTGCACGCATGCCAGGCCACATCAGTAGAATAGGTGCCTGGTAGACAAAATTGCTTTTTTAAAGCTAATAAAAAGGAGCTCTATGTCCAACCCAAATCATCTCTTTGAAGACAAATGGACTCGATCAAGAGTGCACGCATGCCAGGCCACATCAGTAGAATAGGTGCCTGGTAGACAAAATTGCTTTTTTAAAGCTAATAAAAAGGAGCTATATGTCCAACCCAAATCATCTCTTTGAAGACAACAGAAACAGTTACACATCTGGAAATACAATCAGGGGTGGAACATTGCTTAATAAAAATTATGCTCAGTTGATAGGCTGAAATAAAGCCTAAAAAACTGGTCTAATATATCCTTTAATAATCTCACAAAATATCATACAGATGCTAAAAACAAAATAAAACCAAAACCTTCATCCATTTGGGAAAAAAATAACTTTACTAGACTTCTAATTTTTAATGACAACCCCCAGGGAATATTCATGAAAGCTGCTTTGAACTTGCCAATTCACTCTAAGTAACGGTCATGGAAATTACAGACTGCCTGGTTCCATTTAAAAATAGCACTAGCTGTTTGGTTGGCAGAGTATGGGAAGGACCTTCAGGTACCTCATATAGAATCTGTTTCGAAATCATATAACAAGATGCCATTAGTGTTAATAATTGCAACTGAAAGTCACACATGCAGGGTGTTCTGAAGTTACCCAATCAAACTGATTCTATCTGCCCCTTGGTAATACCGGGAGTTGTTTCTAGACTTCCTGTGGGCTCTAGGGTGGCCAAATGAAGTAAACCAAAGCCCCTCATTTATTTTCCACTACTAAGTTTTCCCAATACATTGTGGAAAAATTTGACAGTTATTAACTCTCTCCCCTTCAATAAGTTACCGCACGCATGCTAAGTCGCTTCAGTCATGTCTGACTCTTTGTGGCCCCATGGACTATAGCCCACCAGGCTCCTCTGTCCCTGGAATTCTCCAGGCAAGACTGCTGGAGGGGGTAGCCATTCTCTTCTTCAGGGGGTCTTCCCAACCCAGGGATGGAACCCAGGTCTCCTGCATTGCGGGCAGATTCTTTACCATCTGAGCCACCAGGGAAGTCCAGTTAGGGGCAAGGGGAATTATAATTGAATGCATGAACAAGCTCTGGAATTTGAAATATATTCAACATTAATTTAAGGGTAACTCTAAACTAATAACCAGTTAGCAAACGGCCCTATACCATTACTGAAATCTGTCATTCAACTCCAACCAGACTTAAGTTGTTATATCTGATTTGATTGAAACAACTATGGTATTTTCCATAATTTTAAGATCCTGTTACTTCCGTTGTTTAACTTTGTTAAAGTCCTACCTGGAATGATATCTGGATTTGATTTTACGGAAGAAGACAATGAACTTAAGGCTTATAAATAGTACTACTTTTTATCTTCAGTGTCATTCATAAATTTATGTTTTTTAAAACACTGAAGTATTCCAATTCATATGTTGTGATGTTTCTTAATCCCTTGTGGAAGTATTAATAAAGATCTGGAAGTAAAAGTTTTAACTAAAAAAAGAAGAGGTGACTTTCAAAATTATGACTCGGGTCAAATTGCAGCACTTAGGCAAATTACAGAAAGGGAAAAAAAAGTTTTTTTAAGCATGCATACATTTCATAACATGATGCATATGGACACCAAAGTCAAGTGAGAGGGTCTGAATGACATACAAGAGATTTGTCTAAGATTGTTTCCATAAAGAGGTGAGCTGGGGTTTTAACGAGTATGTTCTGGCAAATTTCTGCCTTCTCTGAACATTTGCCAAAACTATTTCTGGAGTCTGAAAGAAACACGTGAAAAAGATTTGGATCTTTCTAGGGGCATTATGCAATTGGAAGTTGTTGACATACCTATTATCAACAGTTCCTAAAACATTTCCTTACCACAAGAACTACTAATTTTCATGGGAATAACGGAATCCTTCAGGGTAGTTCCACCGGCTCACAAAAACTCACCAATTATCACCATCTTTGAGAAGAAAAAGAACAACTCCAATTTTAGAGGGCCTCGCTTGTTCCTAATGTTTTAAATCTCACATTTGGCAAAAAGTAAGTTGGACTATCCAATTGAGTTTAATGGAACCTTTAACAGAATAACCCTGACAAACATTTCCACCTTTGGTTCTGACCCTTCCTCTCACTCTCCAGCCAGCATATGCCTTGGGTGAAGTGAAGTGAAAGTCGCTCAGTCGTGTCCTACTGTATAGTCCATGGGATTCTCCAGGCCAGAATACTGGAGCATATGCCTTAGGTACTGTGAATTGCTACTTGCTGTTCTTCCACATACTCTGCATTTTCACGCTTCCATGAGGTTTTTACCTCAGCCCAGAACTCCTTTCTGCTGTTGCCTCTTTGATGAAATCTTTCTCACGTCTTAAAGCCCAGTTCAAATGTCACTCCCTCTTGCATCCTTCTCCCACATTTCTTACTGGTCAGAATAGGGAAGTCCAGTTAGGGGCAAGGGGAATTATAACTGAATGCATGAACAAGCTCTGGAATTTGAAATATATTCAACATTAATTTAAGGGTAACTCTAAACTAATAACCAGTTAGCAAACGG